CACCCTTTCATACAGTTCCTCATGTTGTGGTGACCCCAACCATAAAATTATTTTTGTTGCTACATCATCACTGTCATTTTGCTACTGTGATGAATCGGGTGACCCCTGTGAAAGGGTTGTTCGACCCCTAAAGGGGTCGCAACCTACAGGTTGAGAACTCCTGTCTTAGAACTTATTGTGTGCCCTAAGCTGTATAGCTTTTTCCTTAGTGTTCTATTTATTCTAAGCCATTTGGGGCACCTGCATCTCTTAAATCAGACTAGAATGGAACTTTTTTAAGTTGAAGTAAAGTAGAATTGGGAAAAAAAAGATCAATGTCTTATGATAGCCTGAGGAGAGTGCTCAGATTTGTACCAGTGTAGTAGATTTTTACATTTTGGAGGTAATAAAAACTTTAAACGTTTTGACCAAAGCACCTAATATTAATTATGTTCAGAGTGAAAAATGGGTAACTTTACTTCCCAGCTCCTCCCATTCCCCTGTAACAGCAGCCTATACAGAGTTGACACATATTTTACTCGGTTAGTTATTTCTTTTTGCTGAACCATATTTAAGCTTTATGATGAAGTCCTTCTTGTTTAAAATTTCTTTACTAAAATTAGCTTTTCTTTCACCCATTTCATCTTCCTCGGATGAGGAGGTGAGGCAAATCCTAGAAAGTCTTTGTGATTGTTTCCTACCTCTTCCTTACTCCTAACAATTTCTCCACCAATCCTATCATTCTACTCTTAATCACCCCTCCCCACTCCCAGAAAAACGAAACAGACAGGGCTTTGACTACTCTAATCTGGGTTCCTGTACCTTGTCTTCTAGTTTTTAAAAAAGTTTCTTGTAGAATTTGCTTTTTTGATAGCTTTAAATCCTTAAGTTTGACATGCCTGCCAATAGTTTCCCCTTTTAAAAACTTTTGCATGTTACTTCATATTACTTTTAAAATTAGCCAGACCACTGACTAATTTTAATTCATCCTAATTTTAAAAACTGCTTCAATCCCAAGTAGAATGCTGTTACCAAAAGACAGGTTTTAAAAATTGTATTTCAAAGTGCTGGAAATATATTTTTTTGTTTTGTTTTTAAGAAGAGTACAGTGAACCCTCGCCACTTCGCACTTCGACTTCCGCGGCTTCACTCTATCGCGGTTTTTGCGTAACAGCGCATGCTCTGTCATTACTGCCACTGATTGGCTCATACTGTACA